ACCCGGGTCTTCTGCAAGAACAACCAGTGTTCTTAACCGCTGAGCCATCTCTCCAGCCCCTATGTATTATTTTTTTAATTTTATGTGTGTGCATGTATTGCCTACGTGTAGGTAAGTGCACCCTTGTCATGCAGTGCCTGCGGAGGTCAGAAGAGGCTGGGACTGGAGTTATGGACAGTTATTAGCTGCCATGTGAGTGCTGGGATTTGAACCCTGGTCTTCTGCAAGAATAACCAGTGTTCTTAACCACTCAGCCATCTCTCCAGCCCCTATTTTTAAGATTTTTAAAAAATTATATGTATATGGGGTAGTATTGCATGCTTTTGAGTGAGAGGCCAGAAGAGGGTGTCAGATCCCCTGGAGCTGGAGTTCCAGGCCATTGTGAGCTGCCAGATGTGGCTACTGGGAACCAAGCTTGGGAACTCTACAATTGTAGTATTTGCTGTTAACCACTGAGCCATTTCTCTAGTCTATAAATTTTCAAGTTAATGTTGATTTTCACTATTTAGGGTTATTATGTGGTATGAAGTCCTTTGAACATTGAATTAGCAAATACTGAACCATACAAAACCTCTGGTCACACTATTTTCATCAACTGAGTAGTATGAACCTTGTTCCTGTTTTTCTGTTTAATATATACTATTGACTAATTAACATTGGCCTCACAGCTGACAGCACCGTGACTCATACCTGAACGAGGCTTATCTAACATGTATTTTCTTTGCAAGGTGCACCACAGCCTTTTTACACTAGATAGTACTTCAGTACTGTACTTGGGGGCCATTTTAAAACAGAAATTATCAACAGAAAGCATAAAAATATGGCAGTCAATAGCTCGAAAAGGACTTTGCTTACAGAATGAGAGATGACTGAGAGCGTAGTGTTGCCGTATTTGACCTCAGCCAGGAAGTAGTCCATTCAGTGACTCTTTTCTGTTGATCTACTTATGTCTGCAAATGACTGAGATTTCCTTAAATATTGACTTAGGAGTTACAAATTTGATAAATTTATAAATAAAAAACTCATGAATAATGAAGGCTGCTTATATTTAAATGATTTTGTAACCCTCTGTTGGGCTGCTAGATCATACTTTGTCTAACCATTCTTCTGTTGTAGGAGCAAGAATAGTGTCCAGTTTGGCACTTCATAGAGTGCCAGAGAGGACGTTTTCCCCCACCAATGTAGAATAGAGAGTCATACTTGTTAGTTTTAGCCTTAAGTTTTAGTTGTAATTTTGGGGGTTACATTTCTTCAGGATTAGTGAATGTTCCTGAGGAACCCATTGAGGAGGAGGAAGAGGAAGAGGAAGAGGAGGAAGACCAGGACATGGATGCAGATGACAGGGTTGTGGTGGAGTACCATGAGGAGCTCCCAGCTCTCAAACAGATGCATGAGCGGAGCACAGCCAGGAGGTCCAGTGCGAGCAGCTCAGATTCTGATGAAATGGACTATGATCTGGAACTGAAAATGATTTCTACTCCCTCGCCAAAGAAAAGCATGAAAATGACCATGTATGCTGATGAAGTCGAATCACAGTTGAAAAGTATCAGGTAAAAATACTTTTTTCTTTCCTTAATGCTAGCTCTAAATCCTTTAAATATTTATTTATTTACTTACTTCTTACTTTGGCAGTACTGAGGATTGAACCCAGGACCACTTATGTGCATTCAAGGCAAGCAACTCTTCCACTGAGATATATTCCTACCCTTTAGTCTTTGAGTGCTAATTATAAATGTATTCTTCTTCATGTTGTAGTCATTTTTACCCTAATTTTCAGTCCTTTGTAGGAGTTTAATAAAACCATCAGGTTTTTCTCTCTATGTCTTTCAATTTATATTCTTACTGTATAGACATTATAGAATGTGAAAACCACCCCTATTTTCAGGTCTTTTGTTTTTCTCGACCACATATAGTGTACTGTTTGAAACCATCATTATTTAATTGCTTATTTTTTTTATGTAAAATTTTTTTTACATGTATTTTGTGTGGGTGTCTGTATGTATGTGCATGTGCACAAGCCAGTGCCACAGTACATGTGTGGAGGCCAAAGAACAACTTGGTGGAGTTGATTCTCTCCTCCCAGCATGTGGATTTGGGGATAGAACACAGGTCATCAGGTTTGGAAGCAAGCACCCTTACCATCTTGCTGGTCCTGTTTATTTCTTATTCCTTTATTTTTGATTTTGAGATAAGGGGGATTTTTTTTTGGTTTCTAGTAGGGACGAGGAGATTCTTTGAGTATAGACGGTATATATAGAACTGTGAAGTTAGATTCCATGGATATTCTTTCTTTTGTTAAAAATTTTTATTTTAAAAAGTTTCAAGATTGGTCGGGTGAGGTGGCCCACACCTTTAATCCCAGTTGGCCTGGAACTCACTAAGTAGACAAGGCTGGCCTTGAACTCACAGAGATCCTCCTGCCTCTGCCTTCCAAGTGCTGGGATTAAAGCCGTGTGCTACCATGCTAGGCTAGATTGAGTTTCTTAAATTGTTTTCTTGTGGTATGAGACTATTGCTTGTACCTTGCTTGTCTTGTAGTTGAAATTGGTTAGTTGTGCTCCCCTATTTTTGTTTTTGTTTTTTACCTTAAAGGAACTCCATGAGGGCAGACAGTATATCCACAAGCAATATAAAAAACCGAATTGGTAACAAATTACCGCCTGAGAAATTCTCGGATGTCCGTCACCTCTTAGATGAAAAGCGTCAGCAATCATGTCCACGGCCAGCGGTCAGCAGCACCAAGTCAGGTATTTCTCTTCCTTTGTGTTCCTGGCTTCATTCTGAGCTTCTGAGAGCAGTTTGTTCAGGAGTAGGTTCTTGAATGAAATGCCAGTCTGAGCTGATTTAATTATTCTTATTCATCGTATCTAAATCTTAGGCTAAGCCTTGGTGTTTTCAGCACATGAAAAAATAAAACCAGATTGTAGCAAATCCAGCTTTTGGTATTTTTGCCTAAAACAATTATTTTACTATTTCCTTGGTATACTTTATACCCCAGAGCAATAGAAATTAAGTTGGGTGGTTAAATAAGTGGTTGAGCTTGAGCTAGATCGTTTATGTGCACAAACAGTGATGCAGTAGGTATGTGGGTGGGTGTGCTTGCTTGTATATCAGGCAACAGGCTAGGAGTAGGCATGTGGGAAGTCTTTGGAGAGGCTGCAAAGCTGCCATAGATCTTCTGAGAGAATTAGAGAAAGGCTTTCAGAGAAATGGGTTTAAGACTAGGACTTGGGAAGGAATAGGAATTAGTTGGCAGACAAATTTTTGAGATTGGAAATAACTATTTTCATATACCTATTTTAGGAAGATAGTTTTGGAGTGAGGTGGAGTGCAATGGAGTGGGGTAGAGAATGGAGTAACAAGGACCTGAGCTTGGTCAGGGCGGTGAAGACAAAGGGTGAGACTGGGGCTGTGGGAAGATTCACTGCTGGGAAGGAGGAGGAATGGCAGAGAAGCCACCAAGGAGGCTTGGCCTGAGAGGCCGGGTGATGGAGATTGTTCTTTGGGGAGGTTAAGGTGAGATGGCAAGAGTTGCAGGGCAAGGCTTTTGCTACTGACTTGTGCCTGGAGTGGCTGCTGTTTGTTGGCATGAACTTGAGGACAAGCGACTTTGCAAGGGGGTTGGAGGAAAAACACATTTGGCTTGGGGGAACATTGCCTTTATCCTTTGCTTTTTGCCAGTCTACTTATATGTTCAAAGATTATGGCTTCTGCCTTTAGGAACTTACAGTATTGTTTGTTAACTGAAATTGTTATGTTATTTAGTTTTGCTTAGTTCTACCAAAAAAAAAAAAAAAAAGAAAGAAAGAAAGAAAGAAAGAAAGAAAGAAAGAAAGAAAGAAAGAAAGAAAGAAAAAGAAAAAGAGGAAAGGTGATGCGCCTTCAGAAGCAATCAACTGAAAGCCCTTGGGTTTGAATTTTCCCAGGAGAGTCAAGACCAATTATGAAGAGAATAGACTTAGAAGCCTGCAGTGCTGGGCCCTGTATCCTCAGGGAGATTTGGGATCAGATCTCTCAGAGAGGTTAGTTTGACAGTACTGATAGTCAAGCACAGGTTTGGTAACAGGAGTGCTTTTTCTCTTTTTCCAGATATTCGCCAGCGGTTAGGAAAAAGACCATATTCTCCAGAAAATATTTTTAGTAGTAACCCAGTGGTTCGGAGAGAGCCCTCTTCAGATGTACATAGTAGGCTAGGTGTTCCCAGGCAAGATGTTAAAGGCCTCTACTCTGATACTCGGGAGAGGAAGTCAGGTGAGCAACGTTTCATACCAGTGGGAATGGAAAAGAGTGGAGAACAGTGGTTGTAGCCTGAGAAGTCGAGGCAAGAAGCAGCACGTGCCAAAATCAATGTCCCTTCCTCTTCTGGTAACTTAACAGCTGTCTTTGTTGCCATCTTGTCATCAGTATCTGCAGTATGCCAACAGGGAAATTCAGAAAGTAGAGGATGCACACACTTGCTTCTTTTTAGTTTCATACATGTATTTTAGCCTTTTTTCCACACACATATCCTATTTTTTTTCATACAGCACTTTACCATAACAATTTTTCCACATTGCCTTACTGTCTATAAATAAAACTTTTAATTGCCTCATAGTGTGTCTGTGCCACAACAGTCTAAACACAAATTTCTCTATTATTGTTAGATTTTGATAAAACACCCTAAAATGAATGGATAGTCAGCTGAAAATCTGAGAATAGTTCACAGATAAATGGGCCCCTCAATTTGCAGAATGTTAGAGCTGGCAGTTTCTTGGCAGAATGAAGTGGTAAATAGCATGAGGTGTTTCACCTGGGAGAGGTAGGTATGATTGAAAAGTCTCAGGTGGTTATCCTGTTTCTAAAGTGGGATACCTGTTCTGAACATTGAGCATCTCCCATTGGGTCTCAAGCCTTCCATTTGCAGACTAGCTGCAAGTGCTGAAGACCATTCATGTTTCCTGTATGGCCGGTGTTGGAGGTGCACCTGCTTCCTTAGAACCACCCTGGTGCCCAGTATTGGTTGCCAAACTGAAAGCATCTTCTTCCCCAAACAGGTGGCTTATGGACTCGCTTAGGATCTACACCCAAGACCAAAGAAAAGAACAGGAAGAAAGTGGATCACAGGGCACCTGGCACTGAGGAAGATGACTCGGAGCTGCAGAGGGCTTGGGGGGCCCTGATTAAGGAGAAAGAACAGTCTCGCCAAAAGAAGAGCCGGTTAGATAGCTTACCATCCCTCCAGATTGAAGTTAGTCGGGAAAGTAGCTCCGGTTCAGAGGCAGAATCCTGATGCCCTTGGCCGAGGCAGCTGTCCTAAAGTCTGACATTCTTTCCCAGGGTGGGGTGCACAGTAGGAGCCTCCCTTGCAGGAGTTGGTGCCCTTCCCTTGTAGGGTCACCCTCAGCTGTTGCTGTTCCAGCAGGACATCTTGGGAATGTGATGAGTTTTGAAGGGCATCTCTATCTTCTGCTGCAGAGTTACAGTTCTGGGCCCTTGATTCTTTTCCCACTACCCCACAAGCTTTACCCTTTGAGAAAAGGCAGCCCTCCAGATTTTGTAGACATCTTTCTTAATATTTTTAACATTGTGTCTTTTAAAAAAGAAATGTTTTACACAGTTCATCCAAAGAGCAGAGAACTGAACTTCTCACTATTGCCTTGGCCCTGACAGCTGTTACCAGCACCCTTTCCCAAGAAAAGCCAATTCCCAGGTGCTTATTGGACAGCCTTCGAGGGGGAAGATGAGGGAAGCTGCCAGCTCACCCTTCCAGAACCTTAGTGTGGGGGCTGAATCTCACGGACCTGACCTCTGAGATGCTCCTGCCCGCCCAGGTAGATAAGAGACACAGCTGCGATTGCAATCGTGCTTCTGTTCTTCCTTGGGGATTTCTGTTAGGGCCTTTTATTGGCTGTCAGCTTGATGTGAAGATCAAGTTCAGTGCTGTGGGACTTTTAGGGACAAGCAACTGTGACTTCTGGATTTGGAGTTGATTTATGTGCTTAGAGATGGGGTCTTGGGTTAATGTTGAACAATTTTTAAGTCTGTATTATGTTTAAAAACTATTAATGACTTAAAAGTTTAAATTTTTAATTTTATATGTGGAAATTCTTCCTGTTGGCTACAGGGGAAGCTCAAGTGGTGTCTTCTTTTGTGCTGTTAAATATATATTATATACTTTGGAAGAAGGCAAAAAGAGGAGTCTCATTATTTTTGAATGGTCTGCTGTACATAGAGTTCAATTTGCTTTGTGGCCACTGTAGGAAAAAAAATTCCATCCATCTGAGATGGGATCTTGTTTATTATCACTTTAAAAGTGATACATTGATAATTTTATTCTTTCTGTCTCTAAGTTATGCCTGAAGACTTCTTCAAAACTGGCAAGTAAGATAATACTTTCAGAAAATTTTAGGGTTTTTTTTGTAAATTCAAATTATTTTACCATGAGAAGGGAATCAATAATTTTGTCTTCCCACCTGATTTTTATTTTGAAGTATTTAAATACTGTATCCCTCTGCAGATCTAGAGCTCATTAGAACCTTGGAATTAGAGGTAGTTGTAAGCCTCTGTCTCTTTGAGATGTCACAACTCTTTACCTGCCTAGATTGTTAGGCACTCAGCGCGACCCTGGATCATCAAGTTCGTAACTTGTGACTGAGCACATGTCCCAACACTGTTGAATGAATGTGGAACAGTGTTGTTAATAAAGTAGAAGGCGTAATACTTGAAAGTTGTAACAAAGCTGTACTGTACATATTATGTTGGTTAATCTGCTTTTTCCCTCTTCAGAAAGATGGGAGCATATAACCAAGACACGTTTCAGCTTCCTAGGATCCCCGGACAGGATTGGTCCTATTTCTATGTCAGTTGAGACCTAAAACCTAAAGCCTCAGGTTTCTAAGCTCTTCTTTTCTTGCCCTGTGTAACTCACAGCTCAGAGTCAAGTTCTTTGAATGTTTGGCATTTGGTAGAGTGAGACATTCAAGTACACAAGAGTCAGAGACCTAGATGCCAACCAGGACTCTTCTCCATGGACCTGAGCCTTGGTTTCCCAGTGCAGCAATTGAATAACCTGGCAGTTTCTGGCTTTGTTGGCACCTCTCTTCGGTGTTATATTTACTCTTCTTGAAGCTGTGGCTGCAACACTATCTGTTGAGGTGGCAGAGTGTCAGGGAGACAAGGCAGATACGAGCTTATGAACAGGGACTTACCCCATCCTGTACAATCTCTGGTTCTGCTAGTGGGTTAAAGATGCATGTGGTTCCCATCTGACATGATTTCCTCAGGGTTTAGAACTCCCACCCCCACCCCCCAACTTGCTTTTTGTTTCTTAGTGGTGACCCTTTCCAACCAGCAATGCAGGCTCATTTTTCCAGGGCCTTTCAGCACTAGTCAGTCTCCTACTAGAGATGAAGGAGAACTTTATGGAAGATAAGCAGTATGTGCTCAAAACTAGCTCTTTGATATAACCAAGAAAGATGTCCACTTTAGCAGCCTTGTCCTTATAGCACAGAGAGAACCCAGAGAGGCAGCTTTGGGGATTAATTTCCTAAAGTGTTGACTTTCCTAGTCTCTTACTCCAGCCCACACTCAGAACTGCTTGAGCAGGTCCGCAACAGCTTGAGCCCTGTATGCTCAGCCTTTGGAGCTTAGGAGTGAGAATGGACAGTTGGGACAGCCAGCAGGTAGCTCATCCAGGGCACTTTCTGTGCATGTGGGCTTGATATTTACATGTAGAAGATTTCAAATATAATTTTTCTGCTTGATAATACATGCAGATACCTCATTTATTTTTCTACTCTCCCTATTTGTAGAGGTGCCAGATAGCCAAGATAACTTGTGAATTCCTCTGCTCCTCCCCCACTGACTCCACGAGCCCCTCCCTGCCTGATTCAGCTGCAGTTCTATCTTCCCTCTCTGTGACATCCTGTCTGCTCCCATTCTGCATATTGCAGCAGGGGTAAATGTTTGCTTGAGATATGATTTACATAGTGTACAGTTACATGTATTTAAAGTGCACATTTCAGTGGACTTTAGAATATGTATGGAGTTACGTAGCCATTATTAAAATCTATTGTAGAACATTTTCATCAACAAGAAAATTCTTTACCCACTAGCAGTGGTTGCTCTCATTCTTTCGCTCCCTGTCCCCGGCAGCTACCAATCTTTCTGTCTTTGTGGATTTGACTAGGACAGACATTTCATAAATGTCATATAATATATGTCTTATTTGTAGATGGCTTCTTTCACTTAACATGTTTACAGGGTTCATCTATGTCATAGCATGTATCAGCACTTTAGTTTTTAATTGCAGAATAACATTCCATTGTGTGGATATACCACATTTTATTTACCACTCATCAGTTAAAGGGCATTTCAGTTGTTTCTAGTTTTTGACTATTGTGAGTAAGCTTCTGTGGATATCCATGTATAGGTTTGTTATTTTTCATGGGCATGTGTTTTCATTATTCTTGAGTTTATACCTGGCGGTAGAATTACTGGGTCGTATAGTAACTCTTACCATTAATCTTTTGAGGAACTGCCAAGCTTTTTCCCATGGAGCTGTCATTTTCCTACCAGCAGTTTGTCAACATCTTCACCAATATTTGTTATTTTCTAGTACAAAGTGGTATCTCACTGTATGTGTATGTTTTGTTTTATTCCAGTGCCAGCAATCAAACCCAGGACCTTGTGCGTGTTAGACAAGTGCTATACCACCAGTCTGTATTCTGACTCTGGTTTTGTTTGGCAGTTTTCTAGTGACTAATGATGTGGGGCATTATTATTTCTGCTGTTGCTGCTACTGCCACACCTCCTCCCCCTCTTCCTCCTCCTCCTTTCTCCCCTTTATTATTATTATTATTTTTTTTTTTTATTTTGAGACAGGATCTTGTGTGTTGGGTGTATTTTCATGTGCTTCAAGGTGAATAGCTTATGAAACTAGTCAAAATGTAGCCTCTGCTCTGGCAGTGTGTGACCTGTTGTCTCTTTTCTCCCCTGCCCTCTGTATCCATCTTTTTTATTTTTTTGTCTTTTTGAGACAGGGTCTCCCTGTGGCCCCAGCTGTCCTGGAACTCACTATGTAGACCAGGCTGGCCTCGAACTCACAAAGACCTGCCTGTCTCTGCCTCTCAAGTGTTGGGATTAAAGGCGTGCACCACCACGCCTGGCCCTGTATCCATCTTTTTAATTTTTTAGATAGGGTTTTACTCTGTAGTCCTGGCTAGCTTCAAACTCACAGAGAGCTGCCTGTAAACCCCCCCGCCCCCAATTAAAGGCATGCACTACCATCCCCAGGTTCCTGTATCCGTCTTGATCTCATCAGTCTTCCAGACTGCACAGTGCATATTCTCAGTCCTCTCCCATCCTGTCTCAGTCCTGCCTTCTTTATTTCCCTCATCATCAAGGTTTAAAGACTTCCCCTCCAAGAGGCTGTCTTCAGTAGTCATAACAAAGATAAGGTTTCCTTGTATGTATCCCTTCTCATTGCACTGAAGGAGATTTAGCTGCCTCCAGGGTTAGGTTATAAGTTAGTGCCCCAGATAAAAAATGAACATAATTAAAATTCCTCTTTGAAACCCCAAGGCAGGTGCCACATTGAAAACCAGCATTACAAGTTTCCCTGTAGTCAGTTCTTGCCTTTGTGGGAAAAGATCACTCTGAGTACCAGGTAAAGTAAGTTGGGCCTGCAAGTTTGCTCTTTTTGGTATCAGAACCTTACTCAGTCAGGTCACTTTTGGGAAATTGGGGAACTTAGGCCACAGGAGCGGCAGAGGCATAAACTTGTCCCCCCACCCAGCCTGCCTGGGTTTGCTGAGGGGAGAGCAGAGGTAGAATGACCCTGTCACCCTGCAGCTGTGTCCCCTCCCTCCCTTCCTTCCTTTCTTTCTTCCTCTTTTTTTTAACTTTTCAGGCAAATGCTATTGTGTTTTAACTAACTGAAGGGTATGATGATGCCAAGTCGTATGCCCCAAGCCCAGCACACTTCACACGGGACTGTAATTTCCTATTCTAGTTTGTGCTTGCTAGACTATAAGCTTGGGAGAGTAGGGACCACGTTTGACTTATGCATTAGGGCTTCCCCCATGCTTACAACCATCCGTGGCACCTGGCAAGTCCTCCGTGAACATTTATTGAATTTGTAAATCCCCAGCTGGAAGAGCAGATCACCCTCTGAGGCCCCAGGCCCTCTTATAGGCCAGTTCTCATTTTTCTGCCGTATTATGTGCAATGTCTTATTTTCATGTTTTTTTCCCTTCCAGCCTATGAGCTCCTATTGTGCAGGTGTCTTCATGTTGTTTTCTCTGTGTCCTTGCACCAGGCCAGCCCAGTGTAAGTAGTGCTTCAAAAGTGTTTGGGAAATGAGTGAATTATGGTAACCCAGCCCAGCTCTTACACCATTCTATGCTAGCTTGTCTAATTCTAGATGAGACCACCAGATGCAAGGCAGGATCATTCAGTGGTGTATATATCAGACTTGCAGTAAGAAAAGGCGCTTGTTAAGTCGATCTCAATAAACATCACATCTTGATGACCTGGCCATATTTGAGCTGAAGCTTACCCAGTATAATAAAACCTTTTCTGGGAAATCATGCTGATAGTCTAAGATACATGATTTTGTCAAAGTTTGAGATCAGTTTTATTAGAGTTTAAAAGAAAAACACCAGAGAAGGCAAGCTGTAGATATTGGAAGCTGCCCCAAAACAGGAGAATGGAAACAGAAGGGGAAAAAAAGCAATGCTGGGGCTGGAGAGATGGCTCAGCGGTTAAGAACACTGGTTCTTGCAGAAGACCCAGGTTCGAATCCTAGCACCCACATAGCAACTAACAACTGTCTATAACTCCCGTCCTAGGGGGATTCGACAGCCTCTTCTGACCTCCTTGGGCATTGCACGGCATGGGTGTGCTTACCTACATGCAGGCAATACACGCATACACATAAAATAAAAATAATAAATAAATAAAAAAAAAAAAACAATGCTGCTTCAGTTAAGCAGGCATGGTGGTCAGCCATGTGGTGGAGACAGCCACATGGATACTTAGGTTCTGGCCAGCATTCAAAAGAAAACGACAAAAGACAAGGAAAAGGAGTAGTTAGGCCTTCTAAGTCCTGACTCAGAAAGATGGACAGACCCAGTTAAACCTCACAGCAGCTCAGTTCACAGGGACCACCAGAATTTTTTTTAAGCTTTTTTT